CATAATTTGATTTATAATTCATAATTTGAAAAATGGACAATCGAAATTAATTTTGTATATACTCCGTGTGAACCAACTTGCACTTGAAACATCTTTCATGCAACCAAAGACTATCATATTGTACTGTTTCCAAAGACAATCATACTTTACTGGTTATCTTGGCTATTTTTTCAGACTTCATAATAATAAAGAAACGTAAATCAGTCTGCCGCCAATTTTTAAATATTTGATTGGCTCGTACCAGGCCCACATTTGGACTCCAGTCACAATTATTACTTCCTGTTCAGTACCCACAAAGACATTCTATTTTATAGCCTTTATATCTCACTCATTTTGATGGCGATATAAAAATTAGATCTATACGTTTTTGGTGTTGGTTTAAAGGTAATTGAATTGTTTACTCTTTAGAATATGAACATTGCGTGTGTTGTCTGTATTTGTTGTTGTATGTGTGTATTGTGTCGATAGTGAACAGAGAGTACTGAGGCTTTTATGCTGATGTAGAAGTGAAATCTGTGACCCATTTTACATTGCCTCATATACCCTAGGTCTTAGTTAAAACACTTGCCACTTTGAAAAATAAATGGAAGGCAGAATCAAGTGAACAAAATAAAATGAGAGACATAGTACGGTTTACTATCCTTTTGTGCCGATTGAATATGGCTAAGTGGAGATATTGTGTTACATTGTTGCACAGAAGAGCACAAAGTGCATAGAGAAAAGAGTTTTAAGTTTTAAAGCATAATAGCCGTTAGTTATTTTCAGTGTTTGGATTACTTGTAGGGCCATGTGACAGTTCATTTCCCTTGCAACATGTCAACATGTACACACGAACGATAATGGATTATGCATATTAAAGACAGCAAATTTACCTGCACGTTTGTGATACCTTTTGTATTTTGTAAACGTAATTATTTTTCATTGCTACTCCCTATGGTAGTTGTATTGTATCAATCAAAGCAAAATTGGTCATGAAATGTGGCTTAAAGTTTTGATGAAAAAAGCTTTTGTATGGAGTATCAATGGAAAAGATTGAATTTCACTCGATACAAAAGTATTACAAGCTTGCTTGTAGATTTGCTGTCGTGATCGTATGTATTTATTCGTGTGTACTTGTTTATACAAGTTGCCAGAGAAGTGAGCAGTCACGTTTTTCAACAAGTGATCTAACACTAAAAATAACTAAAGGATATTCTCTTTTAAAACAAAGAACTTTTTGCTGAAACGCTGAAACGCTTTGTGCTATTTTGTGCAAACACAACGCAATGTCACCAATGGTACATAATGAATTGTCACATTGCTATAAAAAAACTACACTTTCAGCCATTTTGCATTTTTTTTTACTGGATCCTGTTATTCGGTATCGCTTGCCTGGGACAAATATTTTAACCAAACTACGCAGGGTACCTGGATATGTAACAGTACCCGATTAAACCCTGTAGATCCCCCATGGCAGTCAAATCTCGGGATCCCCTTCGTCAAGATCAAATCAATTCAATACTATTGAACCGTTGTCGCGGGGCCCCTATCAGGGTGCCTACTCTACTCTGTCTATTTAGTAATCCAGCACTGATGGGTAACTACCTCCAAAATTGAAAGAAAATCTACGCACGGGCAACAATGAAGATTTGGTATCTAAAATTTGATACGCACTGGAAACATTTCCATTTGCAAAAATAGGTAAACACAATTTTTTTTCGAGGAATTGAACAACTTCGTTTAAATTACAATCAAGAGAGATATTATAATGATGAAGTTATAGAAATGAACAAAGGAATGAGGTCAAGTGTCTGGAACTATTTTGTTAGTTTTAACATACACCTGTCACCGCCAAGTTTGTCGGCATAAGGATAATATCTAAAACTGGAGAGTAAATCGGCAGACAGCAGAAGTGCTTACTTATCAGCATTGGTGCAGAATAGTGGCTAAGTGTTTTAGCCGACGACCCATGTTACCCGGATGAGAACGAAATCGTGTTCGGACCTTCTTGGCTATTTCTACAAGACAAAATTATGATACCTACGATTGACATCGACTAATTTACCAAATGAAAGTAGAAAATATATTCCATAGTAAATTGAAACAGAGCAATTGGAAACAGTTAAAACTGTATATGACTTGGTGTAATTCTTAAACCTACCTACTTGATATTGGAAAAGTTTAATCGTTAATGGGCTACCAAGTAAGTACTTGTCTCGTGTTTTATTATATTATTTATTTCTATGGTGTCGGGGTGGGGGATTATAGATTCGTCGTAAAAAAATATGTCACTTTGGTCATAATGAGACGTGCATTATGACTTCAAATGAATACAGTCACAGCAGACATCAACTTCTTGCAAAACTCAAGTTACACGTTACTATGGTTGTTCGTTGTCACAGAGTAACGTTACAATGTAAGATGTTGACATTTGTTGATATGGAGGCGCTCTACAGGTGTAATGAAGTTCGGAGAGAGTGGCGATGCAAGGAGAAGTTGTCTACATTTGCAACATGCACGGTGGAGAGAATGTTGGTACACCCCTACGTTACTTTCATGTAGTGTTGGTGGCTGAAGTTTCTTTGGATATTGAACATGTGGAAATTGTACATGATCAAAGCACACAGCAAACTAAATTAACTGCTCCCTTGTGTTAAAAAAATCAACCTAATTTAGTCTAAAGTACAGAATCTTTAGCAGTTATTAAAATAGGGAAATTGAATTTTGAAAGAGTAGACAATACCAGCTACTGAAAGTGCAATAAATTAATGACTAATACATAATATGCAAAAATAAAGTTATCGGCTCTTTTTTTACAATTTACCTCTGAAGGTCATGAATTGGGTCTCACCGGATAGTTTCGTATTTTAACCCCTCCCCATATTTTAAGTTACAAGGCATGAACCTAATTATAGTAAGCCTTGCATATAAAATTTCACTAAGCTAAATCTGTAATGTGTTTTCAATGTATTTTGAGTTAGGCTTGAAAATGGGTTGGGTTGTCTTGTGACGGCCTGTCAGTTAGACCAGCATTGTAGATCAAACGCCTAACTTGGGCTGCGAATGAACAGCCAACTGAGCTTACGTATATACGTATGTCTTCTACAGAGGTAAATATCTGAAAACCAGCTAGTAATACGGGACTATTCTTTTTATTTAAAAATCTAATCTATATAAAATACGAAACTGTAGAGTCCCACCTATATATAATGCGAGAGGTCTCGACCTGTTACTGCCTTAATACTCAAAGCTATGAAGACATGTTTCAAAGCTATGAAGACATTTAGCTAGAAGAAATGGAGGCCAGTTTTCAAGAACTCTCTTGCAAAGTTCGCCGTGAAGGTTGTTTGATTCAATTCACAATTGGATCACAATTTGAATCACTACAAAAAAATCAGAATTAATTAAAAAAATTCTTTTGTAAATGAATATAAACTACACAGAGTTTTTGACCTAAATCACTTGTAATTATCATTTGCTCAGCTGTTTGTAATTGCGTGTTTGAACATTAAATTATCATAAATATAAGTCTAATTTTGAAATAAACACACTTAAGACAGTACGATCTAGTGAACTAATTGTAACTGTCAATTTTGTGTTTGAAGTTTGAACATCTAACTCTATAACTCTCTCGAAAAGGTTAAATATAACACGAGTGCTTTTTTCGAGTTTAGTTAGTTACGTTTTAGCGCTTTCCCCTTAATGTTTTGCCAAGTTAAGTATCAAAATAAATGATTTTGTGGTAACACTGCATTATTTACTGTAAAGCAGGCATAGAAAATTTAAGCTGCTGATTCATTTTCTCCGGTACCATTAAGACGGAAAGCCAAAGCCGGTCTCTTGGACATGGAATCTGTAAATCTCTCTGGATCTTCTTTGACAGGATTGTCACTCTTGGAATAATAGATGGGTGTCGTACATAATGTAATATTTATAAAAAAAAAGAATTGCAGGAAATATTTACGCGTATGAAACATCATTTAAAATCTGCAGCCAGACAAATAATAGCAGTCACATGGAAGCCACCACTGTAACTGAGAAACCAGTCACTCCTGTTACATCAATAGTATCAAGAAAATACGAGACTTCTTCAGTTCAGGCAACATCATAGAAGCTGCTTTAGCAAGGTCCTGGCTTTAACACCTTTGTGATGTAGATATCAACAAGCACGAAAGTTGCATTGAACATGAAAGTGGATCGCTTCTTTATGCTCGGGCGCTGGAGGACGTTGGTTAGATCCCCGTCTGAGTCATACCGAAGAATTATAAATAATGGTTCTAACAGCTGCGTCACGAGGCGCTCATCATAAAGAGGTTAAAGTTGGAACTGGTCGTCCTGGTGTCTGGATAATGTGACTGGGTAGGACATGGTGATTCATGTCTGCGGCATGATGCCCTAGTGACGGACATCACACTACACAATGTAGACATCGTTGCGATAAGACTTAATTTCTTTTTAAAAGTACGTTTAAAAAAATTCAAATCACACACATACGCGCGCGCTCTTCTTTATGACGTCAACACTCCCTTCTCAGCTGTGGAACATGAGGAGTTCGTCAAAATTGTCAACATGCTTTTGCCAGAACACCAGCGATTTCCAATGTCTATTAATTTAGTCTGGCTTTCAAATATAATATTATAAACAATGCATGTATTCTGCAAATAAATTGAAAACCTAAATGTATTCTTGTGTTCACTAAAAATTTCATTCAAATAAAATCTGATTAAAATTTAGAACGTCAGACTAAATTTTAAAAAGTCAGATTTTTAAAAAGACATTAAAACAAATCATTATTTTCTAAAACTCTTTTTGCAGTACAAATATTCATACTAGGATGGATTTTTTCCTGACAGAAGTAAATTCCTTCACATTCAAGTGGTCGTGCTTTTCATAATCTGTTGACGTTTATTACATTTGGTTCAAGAGCAATGGTAGGCAAGGAATATTCCCTAGTTCAGTCTCTAGGCTGAACAGTCCTAGCTAACACTAACCTCTTAGTGCTGAGCGTCAAGCAAGAAAGCTACTCAAGCGTAGATCGAACCCGCGACCACCCGCATCCGATGCGGACGCTATAACCACTAGGCCATAGCGGTTACCGTATGTATGTATGTATGTATGTATGTATGTATGTATGTATGTATGTATGTATGTATGTATGTATGTATGTATGATGTATGTATGTATGTGTGTGTGTGTGTGTGTGTGTGTGTGTGTGTGAGAGAGAGAGAGAGAGAGAGAGAGAGAGAGAGAGAGAGAGATATTGTGTCCAGTTGTTTATAATTTTGTTTATTCTGTGTCGGCATCGCGATCAGCAGCTTCGGTTAATTTACAGAAAATAATACAATCTGTACTAACGATCACCTTAACTACACAACGGCCAGTCTAATTAACCCAGACAAATATCCTATATACATGTACTGTATATAACGGTCACCTGCCTTCTGAATCAGCTGTAAGGTGTTTCCGAATCAAGCAGCGATTCCTTCTTGCCTTAGACAGTATCGGGCGTGTGTATACAGAGCCTGCATAGTTTGAGATGATTTTTCATTGTTTATTTATGAGTTATACTAATGTATTTTGGTATTGTAATCAGCAAATTCATTTAATGTGCAAATGCATGTATACTGCAATAAGTACTTATTTAAGCTGACATGGTATATATCTACATGAGTAAACAATCTGGATAATCTGTATTGAGTTAGCGTTTTGCTCTGCCGATTCATAACAATTTGTTCATGAACGATGTCTTATTCTTCTGTTACATTCTTACAAGACCATAGAGTTTACAATGCCTTGTGAAATTAATGTGTTGTCATTACAAAATTTATCATTTTATATAGGCCCACATATGTATTGTACGTTGGCAAATTGTAGGTTAATAGTTTTCATAGCACATATGTTGACAATTTTTGGCACGTGTGTTTCACTTTCATGTTTCATACTGTATGCTGAGTATAAGAGGAAATTGAACTCAATATGAAAAATAATATTCAGTGGTATTGCAATTTCTTATTACCAGTGTTATGGTATGTGTGTGCGTGCGCGCGCGCGTGTGATTTAGATTTTTAACCTTATTTTAACAATTTTTCAGTCACATCGCTACGATACATGTATTATGGCAGTTTATAGTGATGTCTAACACTGGGGCATCCTGCAGCAGACATGTTGCTTCATGTCCCACTCAAGTCACATTATCCTGACACCTGTCCTAACACTAACCTCTTAATAGTGAGCGCCAAGCGAGGCTGCTAGTACAGATATCTGTGTTAGAGAACTGGTCAAAATGTGGCGAGTTAATTATCTTTCCACCGAACAGATCAATGTACCGCATCCTTACCCTTGCCATTGATATTAAATCAAAATGGTCACGTGTCACACTGACGTCTGCACCGTTCAATCAATTATGTGCTACAATAACATTACAAATTTTACACTGTTACATCCACTATGCAATCAATATTTCTGATCTGACTTCAGTTAAATTTGGAATTATGTGTTATATCATACAGATCTCAGAGTAATTCAGCAATGAGTACTTTCTTCACATAATTAGGTGAGCTTGTATCTGATTGCATGCCATCGTTACATCTCTGAAGGCCACATTGATAATCAGATTTTTTTATCAAGCGTGTTAACAGGAATATGGATTAGTTCACTAATGAGAGAGATATAGATGCATACTAATCAAAGAATCTTATATCTGATTGGCTGTGGTAGTTTCACTCTGAAGTGCATATTTCTGGACAGATCTTGAAAAATTTGGAATATGTGTTCAATACCAAAATGACCTTGGACAAATTTAGAGCAAGCCAGATACCCTGATACCCATTTAATTTGAGGTGATTAAACATATGATTGGCAGATGTTGCTGCTACACTAGAGTATATATATATATATATATATATATATATATATATATATATATATATATATATATATATATATATATATATATATATATATATATATATATATATATATAAAGCCGTTAGTCTCGAGAGACGATGGAAATGCGCCCATGAAATGTGTCCCAGTTTGTAGTTGTGCAGCACAACTGCACAAATATATATATATATATATAAATATATATATATATATATATATATATATATATATATATATATATATATATATATATATATATATATATATATATTGTTAGAACTAGATTTAACATATGATTAGCAGATGTTGCTGCTACACTAGGGTCTATATATCTTATATATATATATATATATATATATATATATATATATATATATATATATATATATATATATATATATATATATATATATATATATATATATATATATATATATATATATATCTTGTTAGAACTAGTTCGCAAGATCCACACGTTAATAAAGTCATGTTGGAACAGATTGCTTTCAACCTCTTACTATTCTGTCTGCCATAAAAAAATTATATTCTAATTTTATTTCAGATTTGAAATATGGGATTACATCTTCACGATCTTGGATAGATTCAATTATAAGCGACATTCATGCACATTAATCAAGCAATCTTTCGTCATATTGCCTAACCTTGTTGCCATTCGGCTGCAATATTTCTGATCTGATTTTAAAAGCGCTTGGTTTATGTACTTACAGATCAGTGACAAGTCGTGTCATGAGTGACGAACCGTGTACTAGTGTCTGTCACTCCAATGCAACACACAAAGTCTTTGACTTTCGGGTAGTAATATACTACTTCTAGCGTTTGATAATTATAACATTTTCCTACAGATTTGACGAACAATGATTTTATTTAACATTAATCTGTTTATAACTAACTTATTACCCTTTATTTGAGAGGATATAAAAGAATGTTTTTATGTTATTTTTGTCTTTTTTATGTCCTATCGCAGTTTGTAGGTAGATGCGTGGGCGGCTTCATAATGTCCGCGCATTATTGGCCATGTTGTGCCAATGACACTAAATTGTCGAGTTTTTAAACAATTAAAAGTTTAAACTTAGAGATAAAGATTGTTAGAAAATCTTTAGTTGAAAAAAAAAGTAAAGAATCACTTTAGTCCGAATTTGTTTTCAGCATAATATTGCTTGCGGTGATTACTTTAGACTAATGCAAAGAGAAACAAGATATGAAATAGTTGCTTACACTCTGTTGTTTTTGCTCTGAAAGTTTATAAATTTATATGCACTAAAACCATAAGAAATCATCGGTTATGTTTGCTAATTCAACATCTGTATTTTGAAGGTCTCTCAATTTTCTCTTGAAAATGATACATTTTTCAATTTTCGTACCCCCCACTACGAATTTTCAGCATATATCGATGATCACCAGGCAATTAAGAATGTCTGCAAGCTTCTCTCGTGACCTAAGATTGTTGCCTATCAGATCAGTTGACCAATAATAATTGTAGACTCTCTCTCTCTCTCTCTCTCTCTCTCTCTCTCTCTCTCTCTCTCTCTCTCTCTCTCTCTCTCTCTCTCTCTCTCTCTCTCTCTCTCTCTCTCTCTCTCTCTCTCTCTCTCTCTCTCTCTCTCTCTCTCTCTCTCAACTTGTTTACCAACACATACTTTCTATTCTCGTGTGGATATAATTAGTTGCAATACTGATCGAGAAAAAAATGTTTAGATAGCAAAACAGTGAGGCTTGTGATAAGGCCTTGATAACAGAATCGGGATCAGCCTTCCCAGTTTTGATTAGACTGAACTATCGTTATCACATGACTATTTAGATGAACAACTCTTACTCTTCATTTCTTCAGATTATTACGTCAAGTGTTGACACAGAAGGCAAGACTGGATGTCATAGGGACAACAGGCACACCGTGACTAATGAGATCAAAGTGTCAGCATGTTAGGAATATACATGTATATTTGGGTGTAAAATAAGAAAGAATTTGAATTGCAAAGGACTTAAGAAAAATTTCAACCAGTTAAGATAAGAGTATATATGGACTAGAGGACTTAAGTGTATCTTTGGAATGGATAACACTTTCAACAAAACGGATGTGTCGTCTCCTGCAGATGATACTTGTGGAAAAGAACCAGAAAACCACGAAACAGACCGTATTAAATCATCACCACGTTTTGAATTCAATACCATCCTTGGTCTTGACATTGGCTCGCAGCAAAAGGAACCATTGGATGATCACGATAACTCTGAGCTTTACGGAAGTTCATCGTCGTCTTATTATAGTGTCTTATCCGAAACAGGATCTTTTACAATATCCTCATGCCTAAACCAAGAGGACGCAGACATAGGCTTACATAACAAGCCTAAACTGGATGGCCAAGAAGTCTCAGATATTGATGGGAGTTCGTCATCTTCTTATACTAGTGCCTTGTCTGATATAGACTCTTATATGCTATCTTCATGTTTAAACCAGGATTTTGAATTGGAGGATGATGTGTTTGATGACTTAGATTTTGAATGCATGCTCCTACAGAATAACCAAAAAACCTCTGAATTATATGGGAGATCATCATCACCTTATAATAGTGCCTCATCTGAAACAGGTTCTATTGCATTACTACCATGTTTAAACCTAGATAAAATACAGGAATCAGATGGGGATGGGTTTAAGGATGGCGACTTAAATTGCAAGTTTCCCCTGGATGCCCAACAAAAAGAGGAAAGGACACCTGTGTGTGATGAAATTACACAAATAACTCTTGGAGATCAAGAGATTAGTCATGACAAAAAGGATGCTGGTTCTTATTCTTGCAGTTCGTTTACTGCATGTGGAAGAAAAGAGAAACCAGTCGAAAAACAAGTATCTTCAATATTAGGGGCACAGGAAGGAGAGGAGACGCATTGTTATGATGACATCCCACTCTCTAGTTTGGAGTACAACTCTTTGAATATGGAAAAAAATACCCCTCTTTGTAATTCGGTTGGTGCATGTGGAGGCCCAGATGGAAAAGGTGATAACTTAGATCCTTCGACGGCAAGAGTTCAATCAAAGGCAAAACATGTGCTTCCTCCCGAAATTGATCAGGTATGTTTTCCTTCATGTGAACTAAAGTCTTGACTGCAATGTCTGGACAGATTTACTTTCATGTAACATGTATATTTTATGAATCTTGGATAATGATTTCGGACATGTATATGTTTTAAT